ATTCATTTTTACGGATCTAACGAAATATTTGAAAATTGTCGTGCCGAAACGATACAACCGAATTGTATAGTCTCAACACCACCTCGGCACGACAATTTTCAAATATTTCGTTAGATCCGTAAAAATGAGCTCAAGTATTTGGTATGATTTCGAAAGTGAATGTTATGTTAGTTTTCCCAAATAAAAATTAAAAAAATAAAATATTGACTGTTTTTAAATGTTTGCTATGAACGTCATTTTCAGAGCGTAAAGTTTGACAGATACCATTGCTGATGTTAGGGTGTGTTCAATATCGGTATTGAACAATGAAATGTACTAGACACGTGATTGTGAAATTATGAGTTGTGTGAAAAAATTCACTTTCTATCGAAAATGTGGGAATTAATGTCCACAAAGAGACAAAAGAATGATTTGTCATTTATTATTTTGTACTAGTGTTTTCAAAACAAAGTTGCATTACTTGAAATTGGTCGTGCCATGTAAACTTGATGATGACAATTTTCTCACTCTTATGTTTTAGGCATTTTGCATACAAAATAACTCGACTGCTGAAATAACTCTGATTTCTTTTCTGAATTGAGTTTATGAATGAAAAAGTGATTTTGAATAAAATTGTATAAACAATAAATAAAATCTGGCGACATTGAAAACATTCAATTTAGTACATCTGTCAAAAAGCACGATTCTTCGCTACAATAGGAATGATGCTCTTTATCTCAATTCAATGCCCTTTACGATAAAACTTTGAAACTGGCAAAAATCATTCCCAATTTGGTGTATATTTAATTCGGTAGGTAATGAAGTCGATTATTTTTAATGTTCACTCCTCACTTTTGGGGTTTATAAATTTCTAACCACTGCACCCGATTTTAATGGTTTTTAGCGCATTTGAAAACTAATTCCTTCCACTATTCAGAGCCAGTTTATTTTTGGTGCTAGCTAGTCTATGAAGAAAGTTACACCCCCGATGTGTACAGAGAACGTCGATTTTCAGAAAAAAACCTTAGAAAAACCAAAGTGCACTAAGTCGTTCCGTAATCCAGACAAACGGAATATGGTTTTTAGATCGGGAGAGGGTCCCCTTCAATGTAGTATGATCCGTTTTGCTCGCGCAAAAACGCCGTTCATTAGTGTTATTTGAACTACGTAGAATATTGAAATTGTGACAGTCAGTGACTCAATTGCACAAAAATTGAAGAAAAAACTGACATTTCCATTTAAAATGCATTATATGCACTCAGGCAACGGTTTTACGAACAAAGTTAGAAAAGTGGTTTCACGGTTCGAAAGTAAAAACAGTATAAATTATTTCCTAGATTAATCCGCAACAAACTAAATCTTTCATTTTTCTGATAAATTAAATAATAATCATTTGCAGCCCCCGCGTTTTTTGACAACTTCAAATGACGGGTAGTTCTGAAAATTTCTTAAATTATGCCAAGTGTAGGTATATGATGTTCGGTTTAACCTGAACTGATGGGCCAGAAGTTGAAAATATTTTTCAACAATTCCCTAGCAATAAGTGTAATTTCTCCTCACCTTGATTAGGCTGTTTTATTTCGACAAGTTCATGTACATATCTATGGGTGAGATTGAGAGTAGAGTATGTTTTTCTTCGATTCATATTTTTTTAAAGGCGAGTATGTTTTTCGATGGTTCTGTTGGCGTTAAAGTAGAGTATGTTTATATGCCTTGGATTGTGGCAGTTTTACATGGTTTCCGCGGTACTGATAAGAGATATCTATGATAAATCTATAAATTTTGAGGATCACAACATTTACTTAACACTTTCCATTTTATCTCTTTCCATTTCATTCGCAGAAATCAATAAAAACGAACGAAACATGTCAAACAAAATGCCTGCTAATTTCAACGAAGTAATAACTGAAAATGATAGCGCCGGTAATCGTCATTATGGCAAGTACGACAAATTAGCTGATGAAATTGCCATCTCTGGTATGTCTGGACGTTTGCCCGAAAGTTCGACAATGGAAGAATTCAAGGAGAATTTATTCAATGGCGTCGACATGGTAAATGATAATGCACGCCGTTGGCCAAATGGTTTATACGATCTACCAACCAGAATCGGTAAAATTAAGGATGAAGATTTGGAAGTGTTCGATCAACAATTTTTCAGTGTACATCAGAAACAAGCCGAACGTATGGATCCACAAATGAGAATGTTGCTCGAAGCAACATATGAAGCTATCATTGATGCCGGTTTCAATCCACAAGAATTGCGTGGAAGTCGCACCGGTGTTTACATTGGTGTATCAAACTCGGACATTGAAGAATACTGGAACGCCGATTCAGACCGTGTTAATGGTTACGGTTTGACTGGTTGTACTCGTGCCATGTTTGCCAATCGCGTTTCATTCACATTCGATTTCAACGGACCAAGTTATGCATGTGATACCGCCTGCTCAAGTTCATTGTATGCCTTGTCACAAGCTTTTTCCGATTTGAAGGCTGGCCACTGTGATTCGGCTATTGTTGCCGGAGCTAATCTCATTTTAAAACCGACTATATCATTGCAATTCAAACGCTTGAATATGTTAAGCGCTGATGGAAAATGCAAAGCATTCGACGAAAGTGGAGCCGGTTATGTGCGTTCAGATGGTTGTGTTGTAATTTTCTTGCAAAAAGCCAGCCAAACTCGTCGTAACTACGCAACCATTTTGAATGTTCGCACGAATACCGACGGTTACAAAGAAGAAGGCATCACATACCCGTTTGGCACTATGCAAAATCGTTTAATTCGCGAAACATACGAAGAAATTGGATTGCATCCACATGATGTTGTCTATGTTGAAGCTCACGGTACTGGTACCAAAGTTGGTGATCCACAAGAAGTCAACTCAATCACCGATTTCTTCTGCAAAGACCGTGAAACACCATTGTTAATCGGTTCAGTTAAATCGAACATGGGGCATGCAGAACCAACATCAGGTGTCTGCTCAATTGTCAAAGTATTATTGGCTATGGAAGCTGGCGTTATTCCAGGAAATTTGCACTACACATCACCAAATCCAGAATTGTACGGTATCGTTGACGGTCGTGTTAAAGTTATTGACCGTAACACACCATGGAACGGCGGTATCATTGGTTTGAATTCATTCGGCTTCGGCGGTGCTAACGCGCACGTTATCTTGAAATCAAACCCTAAACCAAAATCAACCACTCCAACTGACACCATTCCACGTTTAGCTGTGCTCTCCGGTCGTACCAGCGAGGCCGTTGATTTACTTTTTGCAGCAGTCGAGAAAAACAAAACCGACGAAGAATTCTTGAGCTTGATAAATGGAATTCATTCAAAGAACATCCCATTGCACTATCAACGTGGTTATACCGTTGTCGGTGATATCAAAACTGTTTGCGATGTCAACAAATTGATCGATGACAAACGGCCAATTTGGTACATTTACTCTGGTATGGGATCACAATGGGCTAGCATGGCTAAAGATCTAATGCCCTTAGAAGTGTTCCGCAACAGCATCAATCTCTGTGCAGATGCTTTGCGCCCAGAAGGTGTTGATTTGGTTAAAATCCTCACCGAAAGTGATGAATCGACATTCGATAACATTTTGAATTCATTTGTTTCGATTGCCGCCGTCCAAGTGGCTCTCACCGATGTTTTGACGCACTTGGGCATTTTTCCGAACGGAATCATCGGTCACTCAGCTGGTGAATTGGGTAAATATGGCCCAATATTTTACCATAAAATATATTTAGCCATAAAATATATTTTATAATATTTAGGCTGTGCCTATGCTGATGGATGCTTTACACGAGAACAAACCATTTTGACTGCATACTGGAGAGGCCGCAGCATCTTGGATACTAATGTGAAAAAGGGTATGATGGCTGCTATCGGTCTATCATGGGAAGAGGCAAAGGTAAATGGGATTTTTTAACATATTCAAAAAGTTTGATGTAGAAATGTCGTACCAAAATGGGGAATTGATTTATCAAAATGGGGAAATGATTTATCAAAATAGGGAAGATGATTTACGAAATTGGTGAAATGATTTACGAAAATCGGAAAATGATTTATCAAAATGGGGAAATGACTTACCAACAAGAAAAAATGAAAAAAAAAAACGGAAATGATCGATCAAACGCTTAACATAACTGATGTAACTACATTACTAGTCCTATAAAGATATAAAATCTTTGTTTTTCTTTTATTGACCGAATATAGGAGTCATGGCAAGCTAACAACTATCCTACTCGTTCCTTTCTTTATTTTTGTACTCGATAACGGGTGTGATATTATGCAATGTAGCCGCTGATTGTCAACAGTGGCTATCAACTGTCAAACGATAAATAACATTTCCATGTGCAAAGGATTCATTCATTTTGTATTCACGAAGAAATCCAACTAGATTCGATAACATATTATATGAAACATATTTCATAATTATGTTCTTTTCAACTTGTATTTAGGGTAAATTAAGATTTGTCCCTCGCGGGGCAATATTTATCCCTTGAGGTGTAAAAATTTACTCTCACGGTGTAAAATTTATACCTAGGTATGAATATTTTACCTCTCAGTCCCAAAAATGAGTGAAAACATGGTTTATAAAGATTGTAGTAAATGACAGGTTGTATGAACATACATTTCTGATTGATCAAGCCATCAAACTGCATATGATTAAGTCTTTATTCCAAAAAAAAGTTTATCCCGGTGAACAAAAATTGACAGTTACTCATTTAAATCAATCAGTTCTATATTTTGATGTATTTTTTCACAATAAACGTGAACATGAACATTTGGTTTTTTCATTATGAATTCACAGACGTTTGATTGTATAATCCAAATTAAAAATATTTTTATTTATTCGGAATCAATAAGGGTTATTGATGTATTGTTTTGTTATAAACACTCAACAGCATCTAGTTGCGAACGAATAAAACGAAGTCGATTGAATTCAAAAATGAACCTTTCACAAATGCTATACCATTCTGCTAAACCATTACAACTTATAATTTCTATGGGTGGTAGTAGAATTCCCCTGCGCGCGGTGCGATTCCTTTTACACCACTCTGTTTATGGCACATAAGGGCATGCCTGAGCTTCCGCCACAAAGAGCTTATCTTCCTCTTTCTTATAGTAGCTGCAAAAAATCAAGATGATTGAATTCAAAAATGAACTTTTCAGGGTGTACAATTCATATAAACTATACATCTATGGGTGAGATTGAGAGGGGAGTATGTTTTTTCTTCGATTCATATTTTTGAAAAGGCGAGTATGTTTTCTGATGATTCTGTTGGCGTTAAAGTAGAGTATGTCGTAGTACCGTCTATCCTTTGCGGTCTTCACGCTTTTCGCGCAACTGATAGGAGATTACAACATGGTGTCTTCGGCAAAGTTGTAGCATTCGAGGTTTTCTATAACATTGCTGAAGACATCCATCTCTTATCTCTTATCAGTTGCGCGCAAATCGCGCACATAAAAAAGCAAATTTTATATAGAACTTTTTTTTCTTATCATTTTTCGCGCTTTTCGCGGAACTGATAAGAGATAAGAGATAACTGACCTCTGCAGTGTTGTGGAAGACCTCTAGTGCTACAATTTTGCCGAAGACATTAGGTTGTTATCTCTTATCAGTTCCGCGGAAACCGTGGAAAACCTCGAAGACCCGCCAAAAATGAACATACTCGCCTTTAACCATTTTTGAGTCGAAAGAAACTTACTCTTCTCTTTCATAACAAAGTCAGATGAACTTACTCTCCTCTCGATCTAGTCAATAGATGTATGATTCTCTATTTTTCAAACCAGTCTCCAGGTGGCGCTTTATTTTTCTTGTTTGACGTTTCCCATCTGTTTATATAGATGATCAGAGAGGCTGGGTAAATTTACTAAAAGGAAATGTCAACAAACTAAGCTGAACGAATTGACAACAAATTACTGACTAACGCTAATTTCTGAATAATGAAATATATAGCTTCTACAATGGACGATAACAAGCGACGAAACAAGATAATCAAAAATATTCGGCAGAGGAGAGTATGTGAAAAAATTCTAATATATTTTGAAAGAGGAGAGTATGTTTTGTGATGATTCTGTTGGCGTTAAAGTAGAGTATGTTGTAGTACCGTCTAGCCTCTGCGGTCTTCACGGTTTTCGCGCAACTGATAGGAGATAACAACATGGTGTCTTCGGCAAAGTTGTAGTACTTGAGGTCTTCTATAACATTGCTGAAGACATCTATCTCTTATCTCTTATCAGTTGCGCGCAAATCGCGCACACAAAAAAGCAAATTTTATACAGAACTTTTTTTTCTTATCATTTTTCGCGCTTTTCGCGGAACTGATAAGAGATAAGAGGAAACTGACTTCAGCAATGTTATAGAAGACCTCGAGTGCTACAATTTTGCCGAAGACATTAGGTTGTTATCTCTTATCAGTTCCACGAAAACCGCAAAAAACCGTGACGACCCGCCAAAAATGAACATACTCGCCTTTAACCATTTTTGAGTCGAAAGAAACTTACTCTTCTCTTTCATAACAAAGTCAGTGAAACATACACTACTCTCAATCTCACCTATGACATATGACAGAACGACACAATATTGATTGAAATCAAAAATCAGACTTATTTGAATTATACATTTGAATGGGTGAGAGCAAAAGTGAGACTTGGATTCGCAGTATTTTAAAGTGTAAAATCTCCATACAAAACACGTATACGTTTGTTCATTTAATCTTCATGAATGATAATTATGCGAATCACATAAAATTCATCTTTTTCAATAGTCGAAATATTTCAGGCATTTACAAGAGAAAGTGAGAACACTGTTTGTGTACGAATGTGCAATTTTGTTTATTCTTTCTGACAAATGCGTATATTCCATAGCGAGAATATACATTAAATTGCCAGTGTTCAACTGAAAACCGACATTGTATATTAATTTGACTTCGTCTATTCGTTTTCCTCTCTAACGTAAATTATTGTTAGGGAAGTTGAAGAAATTGAAGAATTTGATTAAAATGCAACAAATTTTTCTTAGATTTTCTGAAAAATTTCGTAATAAAATGCTTTCTATTCTATTTTTAGTCTAAAATTTGGTTGGTGAATCATTTTCCCATTTTGATAAATCATTTTCCGATTTTCGTAAAACATTTCCCCATTTTGATAAATCGCCTTCCCCATTTTGATAAATCATTTTCCGATTTTCGTAAATCATTTTCCCATTTCGATACGACAAAACTATTTAACCATTCAAAAATGAGCGTTTCTCCCATTTAAATAATCATTTGATTGAATATACTACCCATACTCCGAGCATGTATATGGAGTTTCAATACATTATATTTGGTACGGGCGTCTAACTCCATCTACGGATTTTTCCAGTAGTTGTGAATCGAGTAGACATATAACGATTTCAACTATTTTTGGGCGAAATCAGGCCGCGCTAGCGTCCTATATAAATACATTATAATGAATAAGTACAAAATAATACATATGCATTTCTACTATGAATACGTTTCATGCTATGTGTTTTAATTTCATTTAATTTTGGAAATTGAAAAAAAAAACTTCTCGACAAAATATATTTTAAAACATCATTGCAATAAAAAAAAACTTCCAAGTAAGAATGAATATATTGATATTGAGTAAGAAAATTCGGTGAAATCGGTGAAATACTTGAATCAAACATAAACGTTTGAAAAACGTACGACGCGCGCCAAAGCATAAGTGATGTCAAAGTGTGTATAAAGAGTGAAGCAATAGTGCGTTTAATGCTATGTGCTATAGTGTCTCTGTTGATGTTGATCGCTGACGTTTATAGTGGTAGGGCGAAATTATCTCGAAAATATAAAAAATGAGTTATTTGTTATGCGAACGCTCAAACGGCTACCGGAAATGTACGCGCAAATACACGCACTCGAGTGTATTGTAAATTTGTCATCTAGTAACCATTGCATGTCTACTGAATCAGTGCGTACATTAACAGTAGTCGTTTGAGCGTTCGCATGACAAATAACTCATTTTAGCATACTTTTGAGATAATTTCGCCCAAAAATAGTTGAAACCGCAACTCAATAGAACACAACTGCTGGAAAAATCCGTAGATGGAGTTAGACGTTTCAAATACGTCATGTTCTCGGTATGATACTACCCATTTTGGTTATATTTCCATTTAAAAAATAAATAGGCTCGTGTTCCAGCTGATATCACCGCTGCATGCCACAACAACATTGATAGCGTTACAATTTCTGGTCCACCAAAATCAATTACCAAATTCGTTGAAGAATTGACGAGAGAAGGAGTCTTTGCCAAGACCGTCAAATCGTCCGGATATGCCTTCCACAGCAAATACATCGCCGATGCTGGACCAAATTTGGGAAAATCATTGAAACGAATCATTCCAAACCCGAAAAACCGTACATCGCGCTGGCTCAGTACAAGCATCCCAGAATCCGGATGGACAACTCCAATCGCTCAACAGAGTTCGTCCACTTACCATGTCAATAATTTGCTTTCACCAGTCCTCTTCCACGAAGCCGTTCAACACATTCCTAAGAACGCTATTTGCATTGAAATCGCACCAACTGGTCTGATGCAATCCGTTTTGAAGAGATCATTGGGCCGTGAAGCCGTCAACTTGAGCTTATTGAAACGTGGCCACGAAAACAATCTCGTTTTTTTCCTGCAAAACATCGGAAAGTGAGTTGATCGAGAAAAAAAATGAAGAAAAAAAATGAAAATGCAACGAATTTTCTCATTTTAGATTGTATGCAGCCGGTGCGCAACCACAAGTTTCAAAATTATACGCACCAGTTTCATATCCAGTTGGTCGTGGAACACCTATGTTGAATTCGAAAGTTGGCTGGGAGCACTCACAACGTTTCATGGTCCCAAAATACGGAATGGATTGTAAGTTTTCTCAAAACAGAATAAAAAAAAAAATACGAAAAAACCTAAATAAACAAACATTTCGGCTTTCCGAAGAGCAAAATTAAATTAAAAATTAATTCCCTCCCTTTGCAGCAATCTCTTGTGAAACTGTTGTCGATGTGAATCTCACTAAAGATGCGGACGCATACTTGACCGGTCACACAATTGACGGTCGTATTTTGTTCCCAGCTACTGGTTACATGACATTGGCATGGCGTGCATTTGCCAAGACCAAGTACAGCACCTTCGAAAGGACATCAGTCATTTTGGAAGATGTTGTTTTCCATCGTGCCACCATTTTGTCAAAAGACGGTTCAGTAACATTCAGAATTAGATTCTTCGATGGCACGGAACGTTTTGAAATCTGTGAAGGTGGTTCATTGACCGTTTCGGGTAAAATCTATGTTCCAGAAGACGTTGAATTGGAACAATTACCATTGGATCCATTGGAACAAGACAAATCAGGTTTACCATTGAAGACTAATGATGTGTACAGGGAATTGCGTCTCCGTGGCTATGATTATGCTGGTAAATTCTGTGGTGTTAGCGAATCAGATTCAAAGGCTGTCACCGGTAAATTGAAATGGGAAGACAACTGGGTCAGTTTTATCGATACCATGTTGCAGTTCAGTATTTTGGGCAAAGATTTGCGCAAATTGTACCTGCCAACCCGTATCGAACGTGCCGTTTTCAATCCATTAAAACACCTTAAAATCGTTGAAAATCTGAAACAAAACAAAACGGATGTCCCAGTTTACATGTACAAAGACATCAATGTCATCAAATCAGGAGGTGTTGAATTGCGTGGATTGAAAACTTCATTGGCTCCACGTCGTTTAGGCACTCAATCGCCACCATATTTGGAACGTTACCAATACGTTCCGTTGAAAAATGCCAACCAAGACTTGTCAAAGAGCTTAGAACGTGCTCGTTTGCATGCCGTTTCAGTTGCAACCCATTTAGCCATTGAAAATAGCGGCGGTGCATTGAAAATTAGGGTAGCTGATGTTGTTGAAAGTAAGCCCGTTGACAGTTCACTCGCTCAAACGATTCATTTCGTGATTGAAAACGCACCAACACTGGCCAGCGATGTAGCCATTGTCACAAATCAACCAAAGGAAGCATACGTTCAAGCTGTCGGTGAATCGGGTATTCGAGTCGTTGCCAAAGATCCAAGCACTGGCTCAGTCGAATCAAACCAACACTTGGTGGTTGCTTACGATGTTGTGTCACGTGCCAACGCAAATATTATTTTGGAAAATCTGAAAGCTTCAATCCGTGAAGATGGTTTCATTTTGCTTGAAGAAAATGTCGATGGATATGACGAAGCGGCCGCTAACAAATTGTTCGCCAACTTCAAATTGGCCACAGTATCAATTCAATGCGCCGCAAACAAATACTTTGTTTTGATTCGACCAGTCATCGACATCACCACCAGAAGTAAGACCGTTGTTTTGATCACCGAAAAAAACTACTCGTATGTTGACCAATTGAAATGGGCGTTGGCCAACGCAGAAAAGGATAACACTTACGTTTATGTTGTTGGACAAGGCGAAGAATTGTTGGGTGCCGTCGGTTTTATGAACTGTATCAAGAACGAAAACGGAGGCAAGTTCGCTCGTTTGGTTTTCATTCAAGACGCAACGGCCGAGAAATTCTCATTCACAAGCAAATTGTACTTGGAACAATTGAACAAGGATTTGATCATCAATGTGTATAAAAATGGCGGTTGGGGTACATTCAGACATTTGAAATTGGCCGTACAAAGTGCAGTATCAAATTTGCAAGTTGAACATGCTTACGTGAATGCATTGAACAAAGGTGATTTGTCGAGTTTGTCATGGATTGAGAGCCCATTGACTCGTCAATTGCCAGATCCAAAGGACAAACGCGTCGAATTGTGCTCAGTTTACTATGCACCAATCAATTTTCGTGACGTTATGTTGAGCTCTGGAAAACTGGCAGCTGACGCTTTGCCAGGAGATTTGGCCACTCAAGATTGTATCTTGGGTCTGGAATTTTCGGGACGTGATTCGAGCGGAAAACGTAAGTTTTAGTTCAAAATACATTCATTTTTGCGACAACGTTTTAAAATGGACAGAATGAAACTAAAAAAAAAAAATCTCCATTTCTACAGGTATCATGGCTATGGTTCAAGCAAAATCGCTTGCCACAACTTGTGTCGCTCAACGCAACATGATCTGGGAGATTCCAAACAACTGGACCATGGAACAAGCGTCAACCGTTCCAATTGTCTACTCAACTGTCTACTATGCTTTGGTTGTCCGTGGTAAAATGAAGACGGGCGAATCGATTTTGATTCACGCCGGTGCCGGTGGTGTTGGTCAAGCAGCCATTAGTGTTGCTTTGCACCATGGATTGACCGTTTACACAACATGCAGCAAAGGCAAACGTGAACTTCTGAAGAAGACCTTCCCACAATTGACCGATGCCAACATTAGCAACTCGCGTGACACATCTTTCGAACAGTTTGTCATGCTTGCCACCAAAGGAAAGGGCGTTGATTTGGTTTTGAATTCGCTTGCTGAAGAAAAACTTCAAGCTTCAATTCGTTGCTTGGGTCTTAACGGTCGTTTCTTGGAAATCGGGAAATTCGATTTGAATAACAATTCGTCATTGGGAATGTCGGTGTTCTTAAAGAACACATCATTTCACGGTATTTTGTTGGACAGTATTCTGGAGGGTGATGATGAAACCATCGAAACTGTTGTCGGTTTGGTGGCCGAAGGTATCAAGGACGGAGCTGTTCGCCCATTGCCAACCACGGTTTTCAACGATAACCAAATTGAAGATGCATTCCGATTCATGAGTAGGGCCAAGCATATCGGTAAAGTTGTTGTTAAAATTCGCGACGAAGAATCACAAGAGATATTAAAACCAACACCACAACCGATCTTGGCCATTTCACGTACATACATGTATGACCATAAATCGTACATCTTGGTGGGTGGTTTGGGCGGTTTTGGTTTAGAATTGGCCAACTGGATGGTAACACGTGGTGCCACCAAATTGGTATTGTCCTCACGTAGCGGTGTTAGGACTGGTTATCAGTCATTAATGATTCGTCGCTGGAATGAACGTGGCGTTCAAGTTGTTATCGATAACAATGACGTTACCACATTGAAGGGAGCAGCAAACATGATCAAAGAAGCCAATAAATTAGGGCCAGTCGGTGGAATTTTCAATCTTGCTGGTGTTTTGCGTGATGATTTGCTGGAGAATCAAACTGAAGCCGATTTCAAGACAGTTTGCTTACCAAAAATCGATGTAACCAAGTATTTGGATGCCGCTTCACGTGACCTTTGCCCAGATTTGGACTACTTTATTTGCTTTTCGAGTGTGGCATCCGGTCGTGGTAACATCGGGCAAACTAACTACGGTTTGGCTAACTCGACCATGGATCGTATCTGTGAAAATCGTCAAGCATGCGGTCTGCCTGGAACATCCATCCAATGGGGAGCTATCGGTGATACTGGTATGGTTATTGAATCATTGGGTGACAACAATACCATTGTTGATGGTACGTTGCCACAACGTATGATTTCATGCTTGGAATCAATGGATCTGTTAATGCAACAACCACACGCAGTTCTCGGTTCGATGGTCATTCCCGAAAAATATAAGGCCGAAAGAAGCGACGATGTCACATTGGCCAGTCGTGTTGCCAACATTATGGGAATGAAAGACTTGAAGAATGTACCCGATCAAACGTCATTGGCTGAATTAGGTATGGATTCATTGATGAGCGCTGAAGTTAAGCAAACGTTGGAATGGAATTATGATATTGTGATGAGCGCATCAGAAATCCTTAACCTGTCATTTGGCAAACTTAAAGCGTTGGGTAAGTTTGATTGATGACATTGGAATCACACTTGATTTACTCATTAATCCATTTTAATATATTCAACAGAATCTGGGGACAGAGATGTTGCACCAGTTACCAAAAGCAGTATTCTACAACCTGCTGAAGATGGTGAATCTGCTGATCAAACATTCACTCATGCGATGAATGAATCATATATTCAGGGATTCTACGCTCCCATACCGATGGAAGTTTTGGTCAAAATTGAAACACAAGCACCGGCCGACAGCAAAGATTCACCATATTTCCTTGTTCATTCGATCGAAGGTTTTGTTACTTACATGAAACCATTGGCTGCCAAATTAAACGTTCCAGTTTATGGTTTGCAATGCACGAAAGATGCTCCATTGACTTCATTGAGCGATTTAGCGGCATTCTACATCAAAAAAATTAAGGCCGTTCAAAATACTGGTCCATATGTTATCGTCGGGTATTCGTACGGTGCAACGGTAGCCTTTGAAATAGTCTCAATGTTGGAGAAGGACGGCGATACATCCACACTGGTCATGCTTGATGGTGCACCAGAATACGCTAAATTTCTCATTGAAACATATCTAAAACGCACCGGACATGTCACTGAATCACTAAATGAAACCAACTATTTGGCTTTGGTGGGATTTTACACCACCAACTTGCACTTGAACCAAACCATCAAAGAATTGGGTGCTTTTACTTCATTCAATCAGAAATTGGCACATCTTACCGAACTTATTCGCAAAACTATCAAACTTCCATCGGAAATGGTGGAAATGATCGCTATGAAATACTACCACAAAATCCGAGCATCTCACTTTTATCGACCAGACCGCAAACTTATCACCTCCAATGTCATTTTGGTCAAACCAACCAAAAACAACGTCGAATTGGCCGCTGATTATGGTCTCTCAGAGGTAGGGTTGGTTTGTTTTGATTAGCATAATTATTCACAACATAATCGTATGATGAATATGCATAGATGTATTTAAGTTCAAAATAATTGATAAAATTTTTGACATCTTTTCAGGTTGTCACAAACAAAATTGATATTGTTACTGTGAAAGGTGACCACAGAACCATTTTGACTGAAATGGAATCCTTGGACAAGATTGCCAATATACTACAATCGGTTAATCCATTTATTCCTACAACCGGTGTTTGCATAGACCATCTCGGAAAAGCATTTGTTGTGGAACAACAAACTAGTTCAAATATATAAAACAAATAAATGTCAAGAACGCAAAGCGGAGCGAAGTGACGCACTGTGGTCTTGTTTTTAAATGATTTTGTTGTCTTTAGTTTTTTCTTCTTCTTCCGAAAAGAATAAAGTGTTTCCGATAAACACTTTCCATTCCAAAAGACATTTTATTGCGGAAAAAAGTGCATTTTTCTTCCTCTCTATCTCAATTGATCGCATTCACAAATATTCTATAATTGAGTTAAATGTTGCACATATTTAAGCAGTATAATTTTTGTTGTTTATTTATTTTCATGCCAATAAAATACAGTGGACCCTCTGAAATTAGAAGTAGTTTGTTGCTCGAGCAATGAATTAGCACCTCTGAAATTAGAAGCTTTTTTTTAAATGTATTTGTTGTGGTTTGGTGGCAATGCATACACAAAAATCGATGACTTTTTCTCTGCACCATCTTGACTTCCATTCGCTTGGTATCACTGCAAACTATCCTTGCACTCTTACTTATTTTTTACGAAAAAATTATTTTGGCAAAAGAAAATGGGGTTCTAAACGGGACATAACCAAATTATATGAATAACACAAAAGTGTCAATTGGAGAAATTCTTCAAACGCCAAGCTCTTGAAAGACTTACTCATAATAGTATATACAATAATAGTGTTGAATAACAGAGAGTGTATTTATACTGCTGAGCAGGCCGGAGCTGAGCTGAATTTACTGACTCAGGTGCGTGAAGCGTTATTCTAACGGGTTAATGGTGCCAAAGAGCAGTTTAGAAAATTCCCTATACTAGGTTTGCGCGTGTAATCGCTATTTGTTAACTTTATGAGAATGATTCGGAGCCACTTTCTACGTTAGGGAATTTTCCTAGACTAATCTGAAGTGCACTTTTCATTTCCAGCAAAGGTATAGTCGCTACGCTTCACTTCTTTGAGCAAAGGTCCACGTTGTTCATTAATTTTACTTATACCTATAGGTAGACCTCTGCTAGCAATGAAAACCGCGAATGCGTTAAAATAATGCTTCATCAAATTCAGCTCAACTCAGACTTGCTCAGTAGCAAACACACAATCTCTGATGAATAATGACATAAAAATCAATACAGATCAATCTGATTGCAAAGCAACAGTATAAAATTTAGAATAAAATTGATGAGAATTGAACGCGTACGACAAGCAAAAAACTACGAGAATCACGACAACATTCGGGTTCTATATTATGATCAAACCAATCAAAATTCAGGACAAATCTCCGAGTTAAAATCTGTTTTAATTATGATATCATCAACTGTATCTATTTGTGTTTCAAATCGAGTTTCTCACATTTTTTTAAAATTTCATTTAATATAAAAATGTTATTTCACAAATCAAATAAAAAGTAAAACATAAAGAAGCAACCATCATTTGGCATACTTAATTCGTTTACTGATCAAATATTTGTAAATAAAATCTAGAATAAAATTGAACAGTTTGAATCACGGAATGAAAAATGAGACGATCGAACAATATTTAAGATCACGAAATTCTGGGTGTTTCTTCATTTTGTGATCTTGTCTGGTGGATAGAAAAATGTGGAAAATTGTACTTTCACTGTGTTTTCTTAGTAATTTCGTTGTAAGTACCATTAAATTTCAACTTTCAAAATCAATTTCCAGAGTGATATTTTGTGTTTTAGATTTGCTGGGAGGTATCACAGATAACCACTCCATATATACCACTGACCCATTCAATTCACTGGGACGATGATACACAGAGTGTATATTTTGTGAACTATGCCACCTCTGGATTGCAATCGTCTATTTATCGTTATAGTTACGAAGATGGTATTTTATATTCAGCATACATTGAGGGTGTTACATCACCTTCGTTCATTATTCCAACAAATAAAAAATGTAACAAGTGCAACAATAAGTGTGATCAGCAGTTTTTCGCCGTTGGCATGGGAAATCGTATCATTATGATCAAGTGGAATGGAAAATCGACAAAAGCCAAAGTAGTTTGTCCACTTTTTAGTGTTGATGATGTATCCAATAACTTTGACATGGCAATGGTAGACAGTAGGGGACGTTTTTATGGTGGAACTCTATCGCCAAAATTCTGTAACTCAACTCCATCACGATCTTTCTACAGATACACGAAAGACGAAGGTGTAGTTCGTCTATTTGGTGATGTTATATCGTCGACAGGCGTTGCTATTAATGAAGATACAAATAAACTCTATCACTTTGACACATGCCAGCTTTTTATCACTGAATATGATTACGATCCAAAAACGGGAGATATTTGTAATGGCCGTGTAGTATTCAAATTCCCATTAAATGGAACTCCAATCAATACATATTTCGGGATTGGACTGGCTATTGATTCGTTTGGATTCTTGTATATAGCTGTTTATTCAGGAAAAGTTTGGAAAACGAATATTGAACGAATATACGCATTTAATGCAAATGCCATTATTCATTATTATGCATGTAATAGGAGCCGATGGAGTTGCGTTTGGCGGTCCTCAACGAAATATTTTATATGTTATTAGCACGTCAGCAATTCTTGACGTTATATCAGCACGTCCAGTCGCACAAGTCACCAACGGAAGTGCACTTTATGCTATAACCGGCTTGGTTGACACATCACCAGAATTCAATCGTCTGGATGTTAAAGAGTTGCCCATTTCAAAAGTTCATTGGAAATAAAAAATCATTGTGAAAATCTTTTAATAAAATGTTATAATAATTCTGTCAAATCGGCGATCATTGACTTTTGGACTTTTGAATTATTGATGATTGTATTCAGAACAAAATTTGGATAATTATTCCATAGTAAAATCACATATTTACATTTGCTCCATTTTTGTCCAATTATTTCAACAGCTTTGTTCAGAGTTTTCATCTAAAATGTTTGTTTTTAACACTGCATATTTATCGGTAGGAAAGTTCGGAAATTTTTCGACATAAATTTTTAAAGAGAAGAGTATGCAACGTCCATAGATTCTGACACCAAAAATATTATATGGGGTCAGACCAAAAATTCATGATGGGATCAGTCAAAATAATTCTAGTTTTCGGGAAAAAAAAGTGAAGATCAAAAAAATGTCCTCATGTTTGAAAAACCAATGGGTCAAACAAAATCGGGATTGTTGGTATTCTTGATGGGTTGACAAAATGACGTTGGCGGTCAAAAAATATCAGCACGGGACAAGATCAACCATATCAGGATGCATCCGAATCTATGGCAACGTTTGTTGTATTCCTGATTTTTGGTTTATATATATTTTACTGGAAAAAAGATCGATAAAATGTTTCTTCGGCAATGTTATAGTATTTATTGTATTTGTCAGTCCTAACAACTTTATCGCAAATCCCCATATTAGTATGATACTACTAATAGTATCAAATTGTCTTTTTCATTCAAAAAATCATCGAATAACGACACTGTGGTAGAAAACAAAGCTTAATACAAATATGAATGAAAATTGTTTGAATTGTATTTAATTTCAATCAAAGAGTGCATATTTGCCGCTGAGCAGGCCTGAGCTAAGCTGAATTTGCTGATCAGTATTTTACCGCAGTGGGGAGATGTCGTTGCTAGCTGAGATTCACGGTGTTTATCAATTATATTGAGGTGGTTTCCAGCTATCCATGAAAATTTTGCACCGTAAGTGCTCCAGGTGCCTAAGCTCAGCTCAGCTCCGGCCTGCTCAGCAGCAAATATGCACTATCTGATTTCAATAATATATGTTAAAGATGAGTATGTTCATTTTTGGCGGGTCATTGTGATTTTTCACGGTTTTCGCGGAAATGATAAGAGATAAAAAATTGGTCTCTTTGACAAAGTTATAGTACTCAAGGTCCTCTATATTGCTGAAGACAGTTATCTCTTATTTCTTATCAGTTACGCGCAAATCAAAAACATCTGCACATGGCTAAAGCGCCCAAAATAAGTCAAAGCTTGTGTTAAAAGTAGATATTTGAAGAAAAAGTAGAACCGCTCATTAGAAAACGATATGCAACGAAAAAAAAACCATTTTAAATATTAATCCAATTTAATCAATCAAATTTGAAAATAAACGTAAAATTTCTTCCGCGGTTTGAATTCCAAATTGAGATCTAGCAAAATAGTTGATTTTTTTGCTTGCGACAAAACTTTCAAACGGGAAAAATTCGGATTAAACACGAAAAATGTGCGAAGCAAACCAAATTGAAAATTTTCATCGAAAAAAATGGTATCAAAATTGATATGAGCTAATCGCGTTGCTTACGAAAAGAATCGTCACACAAAACTGTTTTGTAGGAATAAATCTATTGTATAAAGAAAATGATCAATAAATAAAACGCATTCGTTCATAATTGATTTGTTTTAATTCATTTTATTTGACTTTTTCATTATTTGAGATGAATAGATTATGTGTTGTTGTTGTTGTTGTTGAAATGGACGATATCTATAAATGAGGCAATGTTGAAAATCATTTTTGTTTCGTTTTTCAAATGTTCTTTTTGTTTGTCACTGTTTCTGTGCATAAGAATTTATTGGTTATTCTCGTCTAATTCTTTGAAACAAAATTGCTTCATTTTATTCAACCCGTTTAGTTCATGTACAATGGTTCACAGTTATGCACCATGCATGACCGATTCAATCGTCTATCTGTGTATGTTTTTGTCTATCTAATCGTCGTCGATAATGCTAACGTACCGCTTTCACATTCAATTACTGTACGTACTGTAGTTTATGAAGACTACCAACTATATCTGGCTACCATTTTTCATGTGTCAATATCACCAGTCTGTATTGTGGCCTTAATCTAATCTTATCATATTTTATCTCGCAATTTTTGCCACTTTTCTGTTCAAATTTTCGCGATTCTACTTCGATTTGATTCGAAATGTTTTTTTTTCCATTAGGCATATGTTATTTGTGTTTTTTATTTGTCAATTGTCCTGTGTGTATGTGTGACAATGAAATGGATTTGATTCATTGGGTTGGTTTTGGTTGCAGTCGAGTCAGGAGTATTGCTTCTAGTTGCACAAAAAAAAACAAACGTATTACGAGAGTTTATAACTTAAAAAAAAAGAACGAAAAACACATTATCGCCGGGCAACTACAGCCAAAATGGTTTATGATTGTTCCGAAGAAACAGCATTATCGATTAAGGCCATTCAAACTATTTGTTTTTTTTTCTTCTAGAATTTATTTTTGTCATACGCGCGACGAAGCTATACGGGATATAAACTGAAGCAATTGTACAATGCCAACGATCTACGTATTAATTTTTAACACAAAACATTTTGATGAGTTGTTTTTTTATTTTTCTTCTTTATTCATTTATTTTTCCAAAGAAAAAATGCGTTATTTTCTTAATCGATTATTTTTTCCACAGGGTGTATACATAGTCGAAGTGTGTGTGTGTGTTTCTCTACTTGATTTCATGTGTTGTCAACCAAATTCATATGTTCTAAAATCTATGAAGTTGCCGTACAACTAATAATCGACGCCAGTTATTCTACTTGGTTTCCCATTTCAATCGTAATTTTTTTTATTGGTTTCATATTTGTTTGTTTTTCCTACTTAATATATTTCGATCAATGTTTTTTTTTTCCTCTTCTTCGTTACTAATTTCATGCTAATTTTCTGTGTTTCTGTTTTGTTTTAGAAGATACAAAATATACTTAAAGTTTTCATTTTTATTTTTATACATATAATTCAACGGTCTTCGAACTCTCGCTTTTTATTTAAACAATTCACTCTTCCTTTTTTGCCTCCATTATTTTGGATCTACTATTTTGCTATCACCGCTACGCCGACGTACAAATAATTATAATAGTAATAATGAACAAAAATCAACTGTTGAACAGCATTCTTTTTCTGCTTCTTCTTCTTCTTCGTTCTTGGTTTTTTTCCTGCTACTTTTTTATAACATACAATTTGATTAGCTTAGCCTTTCTTATTTCACTTGAGTTCGTAAGTGTTGCAAAAATTCATAATACGATAAACTACTTTCGCTTCGATCGTCCACTAATTTCTCGATGAACATGCTACGATACGGACTATTATCTCTGTAAATAAAAAAAAAGAGATTGATGAGTTTTTATTGGAAATAACCTCGTGCAGCTTGGCGTCATTTCCTCCACTTTTATATGTTTGCAATGATGTTTGAACTTTGACAAGCAAGCTTCTACAACGGAAATTAAATGCCACAAAAATGACTCCAAAATCGTCGATTAATGATCGAACTACTTTAGTTTTGGAAGAAGTTTTTTTTAAACATGTTTCAAATTCAAAGAATTTGGATTTTTTTTAATGGAAAAATTCAAATGAAAAAAAAATTAAAATAAAAAATTAAAATCATCGAATAACTTGAAACAATCAATTTTGAAAAAAACGCAGGAAAATTCGATATGGAATCAGAGGTCGCAAGTGAGACATTTTCGGAAGAAAAATTTCTCTCAGAATTTGATGGATCTACATGTTTCAGACCAAAAGGAACAAAAAAAATTCGAAGTCCCGGACGGGCCCGAATCCAGAAAAAAAATTCGTTCCTTTTGGTCGAATGTAGATTAAAGTTTTATCAAATTCTAAGAGAAAAAACTTTTCCCCAAAAAAGTCCCGACCCCTGTTTGGAATTGATTTCTGCAACGCTTGAAATTTGAAAACAATCAATTTGAAGAAATTGCTTGATTTCCACTTTGTTTTGATTTGAACATTTTCAAAATGCTGAAAAATAAAAAAAATCAAACTTTTTCGTATTGATTTTTTAATTTTCAATTTTTTCTTTCAGAGATTTCGTAATCAAAATTTTTCTTCAGAAAAATGATTTTCTTCACAAAGTCAAGTCGACAATTTGTTTGAACATTTACATTTTTCCTTGCAAAATCTTGCAAAAGTAATTTTCTTCAAGATGTTGGAAAATGTTTTATTGAACAAAAATTGAAATTCGAATGACAAAAATGACAAAAATTCGTTCAATCTTTCCGAAATTTTTAGACGAGAAATTTTTTTTCAATTAATTTGTTCAAAATATTTCATTTAAATTTAAGTAAAAATGAAAGATCAAAATTAAAAAAAATTCTCCATAAAATCGAGAAAAAACTAAATTTTGCTTGAAAAATTCAAAAGAGATGATTTTTTATAAACAATCGACACAAAATAACAATGAATATGAATCGTTCATTCGAACCGTACCTAATAATTTGAATTGGCGGTGTGTATGGTTTTTCCACGTTGATTGCCTCCAGGAACGAGTATAAATTTTCGCAATCGGGGGTTCTTGTATTTGGTAGATCGAAGCACAAGTCTGGGATTTCATTAACCGATGAAACGCCTGTAAACAAATCCATTTCAATCAATAAACTCCTCTATTTCGAATCAAAAACGGGAAAAAAGCATTTTGTTCACACTTGATTCGCCATGGTTGGGTCATAAATTGTGAAAAAAGTGTATCCAAACCAAGCCAGAATCTCAAGTGATCATAAACAAACAAATTGTGTGACAATTTTACCGAAAACGTTTTGTAGAATTGTGGGTGGCACATTAGATCCGACCAAGAGTAAAATGTTTGTCCCGCAATCAAGTAAGAACATTGACCGTGACTTCAAACTACGGAAAAGGTGGGCAAAAAAGTCAATTAATTTATTTGGTTGTAGTAAAAATGGTGAAATGTGACCGAAAGAAGAAAAAAACCCAAAACTTACTGTTCAGCCGATAGTTGAAGCAATGGTGGATCGGGTCGTTCGCCATTTGAATCGTCTGCCGTGGTTTCGTTGTTGTTTTCACTGAACAGGCAATCCAAGTGATACAAATCGGGGTAAATGTATCGAATGAGTTGATCGAGCGGTAATGTTTTGAGTTCGCACATGGCAAAGACGCGATCATCGAGACGTGTGCTGGTACCCGTACGAAATGCGGTGTGCTTGAGTAGAGCGAGCATGTACAAGGGTAACAGTGTTAAATTGGTCGGTGCAACCAATTGGCTATTCATCGATTTAATATTTTGGGCTGTATGAAATGCACTGAAAATATCACAACTGGCATTGACAAAGGCATCGCGTGCATCAGCGATACTCGATTGAAGCGACCGATCAACAGCCATTTTCGATATCAAACCAATGATTGCCTGTGCATCGGCCGAATAAATGACATCTGCCAAGCAATTTGTGATCGGCAAACACAGTGTGTGCACACGAATCCGTCGTTCACCTTTGCTGCTCGTGTACAGTAGCGCAGCTTGGAAGCATACCGTTTTACTTTCGCCCAGATTTTCCTCGTATGAAATTTGCATGCCGTAGCCAGCATCCGGATTAACATTTGGAAGTGACAATAAATCGGTGGATCTCACAAAGAAATTGCCGTGGAATGTATGGATTGTGAGGCCTCGTGTGCATCGTATGCGCATCACCGATTCAAAGCCAATTTTTCGCGTTAGATAACGCTCGAAGCAACGCTTGAATGCATCCACTTGCTGCGGCTTGGCCGCATTAAACAATGGGAAGTGGTGGATACAACCGCCGCTAAATTTACTTATTCCAGCTGAAACGAAAGACGCACAGACATTTTTGGGCAATTTAGTTGATGTGGTTTGACAAGGTTGATAAAGAACGAGGTGAGAAAATGAAGAGAGCAAAAAAAAAATTAAAATGTTTTCATGAATTCAATTGAAATTTTGAAGGAAAAGTAACGAGAACCAAAACAAATCCCTCCAATTTCGAGAAAACTTGAAAAAACCGTCAGGAAATTACTCACAAATCGTCGCTAGATCACTGTATTGGCTGTTCATCAAGAATAAATCGACTGCAATTTGTTGGCCAGAGCATTCGAGAGCGTGTCGTTTGTAAAAATCGGTGGCTGGCCCAAGATGTTGAATCTCTTTGGCTGAACGTTCGTTTGGATTTTCACGTGATTGTAGGGCACCCGGTCCAACATTTGGCAAACACGTTTGAAACACAGTCACACGACCGCCAGTCGCTTGCTGCAAACGAAAACAATCGATTATTCCATGCAAATCATCGCAAAGTGTGTGCGTATTTACAATAATTTCAAAATTTTTAAAAGTTTCATCCTACGCTTACCATCAATTTGTATGCAACTTGAAGTGCTGCGCCCAGTGCCGAATTGCTGTCGTGCGTGTGGGCAAAACGTTGTGGCAATTTTGTCAGTAAATCTTTGATTAGATCTTTGCATTCGTTCAAGTTAATGAGTAAATTATCGGGACACGGTATAAATGGATCATCAATATCAACAACGGTGATTTCATGCGGCTGAGTAAAACCCTCCGCTAGGCTATAGAAATGTACGGCACTATTGTATGCAACAAAACCGACTTGCGTTCGAGCATCGCCCGGCATCGTGTCCAGGTGTTCGGCCAACGATTCGCAAACACAACGCAAATAGCCCGATTGTTGAGCTATCAACGACACATCCAATAGGAACAAATAAATTGCCGGCTGCGGTGGTCGCAACTGTAAAAAAAAGAAGACATTGGGTGAACATTAATGAATCTTCCATAAAATTTTGTTCTTCATTTGAACGTAGATTCACTTACCATGTATTCCGATGGAGCGATGAACTCAATGGTACTGGATTTGACTTCAGGCCGTCGCGTTACATCACCATATGACTTACTCACCGGATCGTATTGGAACTCTTCAGGCACTGTGAATTGCAGTGAAAAATCTTTTTTAATTAAATTTTTGAAAAGACATCGTTTTAAATCATGATTTAGGATCTAATGATCATTGGTACTTTTGATGCAATTCCGAAATAAAAATTCAAAATCAACAGCTAGGTAATATTTTTTTGCCAATTTTTTTGAATGATAAGAAGGAGAGCCACTTGAATTGATTGATGAAATTTTATTATTTAATTTTTCTTTCATTCAAAATATCAAAATATTTTTCTCTATGAATAAATTAATTCAATGATATCGATTGAATTTTTTTTCTTCATTTGTTTGATTATCGCCGCACCGTGAAAATATATTCAAATGGGGCACAGCCCCGACGATTTTCCTTCCAAAAATGATGAATGCGTGAAATTCAGAAAATTTCAAATGGAGCTCAGCCCCAAACACTTGTATGGACGGTACGGCGCTGTTTGATTGAAAATTGATACCGACGAAAAGACATGAATTATTTTTAAAAAATCTGTTGTCAAATTTGGTTTTCATTTGAAACATTCAATTTTTGGCAAAAATTCGAATTAGGCTAATTTAAAGTTCTAGTAGTAAATTTTTACCGAGCATTTGATTTCCCATACAAAATGTGCAATTTTTCCAACATTTTGGAAAAAGTCGGTTGAAGTTAATATTACATTCAATTTTTGGCAAATTTTTCACTTACGTTCATTGATTCGGAAACAAAGGTTGCATTTCCATTTCTTGCTGTCGACAAAGTAGACGAATGGATTGATGTACGTTCGGCATGAACGACACCGCACAATTGTTGAACATTGAATTACCGGCAAATTCTGCACAAAAGAAATAATTCCATTTCAAATTTGAGATATATGAGATAAAAATTAAAATAGTAAATTGTTGAGACATTAATTAAAATTTTTAATATTTTTAAAAATAATTATTTTTAGGAAAAACAACTCTCTGAATAAATAAAAAACATGTAAAAATTGTAACATTTTCCGATAAAAATGGAATTTTTTTGATTTAAAATAAGAGGATTTTCTCTTTTGAGGAGAGAGAGGAGAATTATTGCAATGGGGAAAATGCGTCGAAATTAAAAAAATGGCACTCTTCGTATAAAAACGAAAAAAAAAATTAGAAAAAGAACAACAGCCACATTTCAATTAATTCCTGCAAATCAATAACAGGCGGTTTCTTTAGTACTTTGAATAAATGCGAAAAAAATCTGACGGTGCATTTATGACTCAGAATTGAACAGAAAATGGCGACTGAATGAATGTTATAAAAAGAAAATAAAACCAACGAAAGGAATGTTCTCTTGCTTTTGCAATGCCCGAATCAACAACTGACTAATCGCATTGCAATATTTCAATCAATTTAAACCGAATTAACCTTTTGCTGATGCAACGTGCATTTTTATAACTTTTTACGACCTTTTTTTAAATTCTTATTCATCTTCTTAAATTAATGTCGTTGAAACGTTATGAAAAACAAATAAACTAAACATTTATTCCAAAATCAATCGATTCAACTGTAATGAAATGTAAACAAGAATCTAGTGAACGCTATCGCAATTGCGATTCACTAACAAAATAAAGAAATCTGGTTTTAAATGCGATGAATATAATGAGTCGGCGCATCGCGTCAGTTGTGTTGTGTTGTGTTGGTTTTCATTTTTGCTGACATCATCCACAAAAATATTGTCATTTTTATAGATTTCATTTTGTTGAGATGAATAATGTTTACTGTTTTCATTTGAATGAGGTTCAAGTTGTGTATTTTCATCGTATGGATGGAAAATAGTTTGTTCAGCTGAAAAATGTTTTTTTCCTGCAGCTGAAATTGTATTTTTTTCATAAGTGAAGAAATAAAATGGATTTTTTTTTCGTATATTCCTTTACTTTTCACCTCATAAATTAAATATAATTATCTGTTACAATTTTTACGTTCTATCATAGAAATTCGCCATGAACTTACGTTTAGATCCCTGAATGGATGTATCAAAATGCCCAATGGAAGCCTTGATTTTTGCAACAGAGCATTGCTTTCGGGAATTTTGGTGAGCGTACATCGGAAAATGCTGTTGAATGAAAAAAAAAAAAGAAGAAAGAGGTTAGTTCCAGTTTTGAACTTCTGAACAATCGTCAGCCGATGAATTTGATATAAAAAACCAAAATGAAGAAAGAAACTTCCTTTCTTTTTAGAGAATTCGCATAAAATGAGTAAATCATGTGCTGTGAGTTGACACTCTTGCACTTTTCATTGGTAAAATGATGCACAAATAGAAGGGAACGGTTCCTTCTGATTGTAAGTGAATAAGATATTGCCAAAGAAGTGATTGACTCATTTTTATCGAAAACTCATTGTTACTTCAGAACTGCTTATTGCATGTGTTAAAACTTGGAGTCACTTACTCTGGGCTACAATTGACTGATTCATAGAATTGGTGTTCGAGTGTAATTTTTGGCGGTTCGACTGGTATTGTTGGTAGAATGTGTCGATGTTGCATTAGGTCAAGGGTGTTATGGCCCCACATGCTATCGAATCCGCGTTGTACGACATTATTTCCATACGGTTGTGGTTGGTGTTGCTGTTGCTGTTGCTGTTGCTGTGCATACGCCTGATTGTTGAGTGGTGTCGGAGGCATTGATTGTGGATAGTTCTGTGGCATTGGAGGCTGTTGATATTGATTGTATGCGGAATTGGTGACATTATTCATGAGTAGTGGTGATTGCTGCTGTTGCTGTGGTTGCTGTGTGGCTGGATAGAGGGGTCGTTTTCCAATGGTTGAGTTTGATACTAAATTCGGAACGGCTGCACTCTTGAACTGTGTTTGGGGTTGTGGCTGTGGTGGCACAATCGGTTGTTGAGTTGATGGAAATTTATTAGGCATTGGACCGGTTCCGGGTAGGCCATTGAATTGAGGCTGATACTGTTGTTGCGGCTGCTGCTGTTGATGGTTCAGTGGTGGCTGTTGTTGTGGTGGTTGTTTCTGTTGTTGAAGCAATGGAATTTGATTTGGTTGGCCAGCAAATGAGTTTGTCAATGGTGGTGGTGCTACATTGGGTGTTTGGATTTTTGGTGGTGGTACATTTATTGCGCCCGGTATCGGTGACAATTGTGGTTGTGTTGTTATATTGCCGTTGGTTAGTCGATTGGCCGTGTTAATTTGTGGCGAACTACCAATCAATAGTTGATTGTACGGATTGGATTGTGTGGTACTCTGTATGCCGTTGCCATTATTCAAGTGTAAATTCTGTAGATTTGTGGCCACTTTATCCGCGGGCGTCAATGTATTTGGTTGAGGACCGGGTGCCGAAACAATGGGTGCGCCGACCGATGGCGACAATTTGGCAGCTGACGGATTTTGATAGTAATTCTGACTAGATATTGATGTGGGTGGTGGCACAAAGGCTGGCCTCGACTGTGTTGCTGCTGGTTGAATTTGAGGCGGTGCCGATACGTTTGCTATTGACGCTGGTGCTAATGATGGTGGTTTTGCATTCAAACCACCCGACGGCACCGTTGTGGACCCATACAAATTTGGCCGTTGTTGATTTGATGTGGCTGGAGGTAAATGGGCTGCATTTAATGGCTGACTCAGTGCTGGCGACACATTTCGTGAATTATCCAAACCGTTTGTGTGTATTTGCGGTGGTAGGTATTGTTGCTTCAAACCAGCTGGATACATTGGACCATTCGGAAAACTATTCACACTATTCATCACTGGCGGACCTTGCGGTTGCTGCACGGGCACGGACGATGGCGTATGTTGACTTGGCATTTGTTGATTTTGATACGACATCTATATGGGATTGGAAGAGAATGTACGGGTTAGTTTTTGGTGAATGGGAATGGAGAAATCGATTCGTTTGGAACAATTTCAATTGTTTGATACCAAATAACACGGTCTCTTTTCTTTTTCATATATTTTTTCCCCTCTCTCAATTTATTTTTACCGCTAATTTTTCACTGCCACAAATTCTTCGCCTAATAAATCTTTCCCTTCGATGATCTTGCTTGCTAATGACGATCGAAGATGGACTGAAGGAATTTTTTACAAAAAAAAAAAAAATGAAAACACACATCAACCCAGATCGGTTATACACTAATGAATTCTTTGCTCTTGCATTGCTTCAAAAACACACCGTGGGCCGTGCAAATAAAAGCAAATAGGTAAAAAGGTTCAGTGCTTTGGCAAATGTGAAAATGTCCAATCGTTTTGTGTACACATTCTTTTTTTTTAATCTCTTCAATGCAATAAAAAATATGTTGTAGTTCAGTAGCGCACGTCGTAAAATCAAAGGTGAAATTACGAATCACATACGTATGTTGAAACTCGCACATATTCTCACCTTTGAGCCTGTTCGACTTTGAAACAAGGAACAAAGTAACTCGATTTTTATGAAATTTTCTTTTAATACATGGAGCAAAAACTGACAACGACACACTTTATCTGTGGCAGGAATGCCCGTATTTGTAAATGGTTCTAGGTATACGATATGACTTGCCATAATATCATGCCAATCACACGGTAAACACACAATCACCGCAATTTTTCAACGACGATACAAAAACCAAAAATTAAATGTGAATAAGAAGCAAATGAAAAAAAAGAGGCGAATCGCTGAGCCGCATCAACCATGAAAATACATAAATTAAATGCCTTGTTTAAATTGCATATCATCATTAATACCGATAAATTGTAGGCTTGTGTTCGTGTTATGCGCGCCGCGCGTCTCTGTGTGTATGCACTGTGCGCTTGTGTGTTGATCACAACTTGACTGGGTGATTCGTGGGCCGAGTCGATTGTTGTTGTTTTTTTCTCTCGAATTCATAGTTTCATTGAGAAAATCATGTATTTCAAATCAGCACACTATTTTCTGATTTCCGCATACGTTCGGAATTGAATTACAAACAGCAATGGAATAAACATGTCGACTGTATGAGAAATTTCAACGTAGAATAATTATCAACGCAATGGCGTTCCTAGCGGTTCAATCAATCAGCTATGTTATAACGGTTCTCATAAATAATTTTGATAGAATCGAATTTTTTTCGCACAATTAATTGTTAATTGACAAAGAATTGGAAATTTTCCATCGATAAAATTGGCCATTTCGTCTATATTTCACTTCGTCTATATTTCTCCCTCGAATAAAGACTTCTTTCATTCAGGCCTTCAATTCTCAACCTTCAATTTTCAATTTCCTTCGAAAGTGCTTCCTCATTTATCTTCCTCTAGCTTTCCCTTACTATTTTCCCCTCAAAATGCTCTTTCGTTCAAAAATTCGTTTTTCTTTCGAAATTCGTCATTTGTTTTCGTTCATAAAGTGGAAAAATTCCAAAGAACAAGATCTGTTGAACTATTGACACTTGCACAGAAAGAAAAGGGTCGGATTAATTGAATCACACCCTAAAAAATTTACGGCGTAAAGCGGCTTTGCTGCAACGCAGTACAGTGAAAAAAATTGGTTTAATTGAAACCCATATCATTCACACATCTCACCGAGAAAGAGAGAGAGAGACAGAAATAGCACGGTCAGTCCATTAATTGGGTAATAGAAATCGATCGGGAAAAGTGAGTGTTGATCGTTGATCAGACCAACGATATGTCGACAACGGCGACTATGTTGCTGCTGTGAAAGTTTGACAATTGTAAATTCCCCGAAAAATGTGTTGTTTGAATCGTGAATGGTTGATAGAAGAAAAAAAATTGCCGTAGTATGTCAATTAACGTACAACGTGTCAAATATTGTCGACAAAGCAGCAACGACAACAGTAGTAGAAGCGAAAAAAAAATATGAACGAAGAAAAATTAAATATGATTCAGAATCTAACATACATAACACACAATGGCCGAACGTATTAAAGTGTTTCGTTATAGACTAGCGAGAGATAGCGGTTGTGTGTGTGTGGCAATCCGTTAATAAGAGTGTCTTCAAAAAAAAAAAAATTATCGAGGCACATACCGACGATTGGCTTGAAGAATGAATTTGATGGTGGAGCAAATACATTGAAATACATTAGCTAAGTGTTAGCTAATTGATAAAAAAAAAAGAATAACTGGGCAAAATTCGATTTTTATGTGAACACACACACAAGCTCACACACATTCCGTGGTAAATGTATGTGACGAGGCGCGCAGAAAATATGAACGGGAAAAATTCGAAAGAGACTGTCAAAGAACTTTCTCAATTGCCTATTTCAATTCGAGAACCGCTTCGTTTCGTGCTATTTCCGAAATCGAAGAAAAACCGATTGAAGATGGTCAGGTTTGTGAATAATAATAAAAAACAACCAGCGATGTGAAATGAAACAAACGAAATACAAATTATCAATTTCATAATTTCAGTGGCGTGAGAGTGTGCGAGCCCGTGCCGGATTCCATTCATCGACACACATGACATGGAAATGTTAGCAGAATTCACATTTTCAATAAATCAACACGAATAAATTCGTTGTGAATGTTGAACAAAATATTAAATGCGAAGCCGCCGAATATAAGCCGAAAAACACGTACGGTTGGTGCGCGGACGGAGCGAGTGGCGTGTGTGTGTGTTTGGTTTTATGACGTTTTGGTGTGTACGCGTCTAACCTTAGCCCATTGCCATTGACCCACTTTTCTTTCTTTCTCTCGCTCTCTCTCTCTCTATCTCTCTGTCACGAAAAATGTAACAAATACACACCGAAAAAGAAATATGATTTTTCTCTATGCTGTTTTCGTCAACAATGTTGAATCAACATTCTTTTGTCTTGCGATCGATTTAATTATAATTCCTGTAAACTTGTTTTACACAAATTTCATTGGGCATTCGGTACTTGTGTGTACGAATTAAATCACAGCACACACAAAATCAAAAATTATTTCAAACTCAACTCGAGTGATTTCATTCTTGCCTACAAATTTGGCTCTCTCCCTCATATTTCCATTGATTTCGTTGTTTGACGTTTTCTTTTTTTCATTTTCCTTCGTTTGACACGAGGGATAAAAGCGAATCGTGTGTGACGTTCTGGATCGAAAACACACGGAACGCGTTCGAAACAATAGGCAAATGATATTAGGCTATTGATACGGCTTATCTTGTGAAGTGCGGAAGTTAAATATGCGCTCGATAAAATGTGCAGTAACACCACCAGTTTCACCACCATCGCCGCCGCCGCCGTCGACGAATATAACGACAGCCACATGAAATTCAATGTGAACAAGACGCACGCGACAAGTACTTAACAGAATTGCGTTGTTTGGAATCAGCTTGTGTCTTTTTTTGTTAATGCCTACGTTTTTTTCTTCTTCTTTTTTCTCTCTCTGGCTTTTTCTTCACTCTGGCTCATGAACTGTTTTGGTGCAATGAGAAGGAAAAAAAAAACTACCGAAACACTTACATTTAATCACTAGGTATTTCTTTGATAATTCGGCTAATGTTGTGTATTTTTGTTGCTCGGCTTTTGTTTGCACAATTCAATCTGTCTCCTTAATTGAAAAAAAAGAAAACGTTGCTCCTTCTCTCCTTCTCTCTTAATCTTCTTCTCACAATTTGCTTTATTTCGCAAACGGCTTTTGATTTGTGTTAATCCGTTGTCGTTTTTTATTTTCGGTCACTAATTCCACTCAACCAACATTGTCACCGAATTTGCCATTTGCATTTGCGGGGATGGCCGCAAGAAAAAGATATTAAATTATTGACGGGATAATTGAATTTCTGGCGTTTTTCCTTTTTGTCGTGGTCGCCAAATTAATAACAAAATCACTACAATTTTTTTATCCTTCTTATTTCTTTTTGATTGACGAAACTTAAAAAAAAACACGCATACACACACACAAAAAAAATGAAACAACCGCAACAACGAATTTCGTTCTTTCTATTGACGTTTTAAACGAGAAAATCACAATAAAAAAATCCCAATTACTTTTCAGTTACAAAAAAATTGTCACCTTTTTCGATTGGAAACGACGACGATTCGGAGAATATGTTGATTTTTCTTTTCTTCTCTAGTGGGCCTTTCTGTGATATATATTGTGGGTACCTATTTTGCCTTCAAAATCGTTTTGACGACAATTATCTTTTAGACAGAACACGTAAACTGGCCTACATTGAGCTACATGATATACGTGGAATGTAGACGAATCACGACATCTAGCGACGAAATCAACGACAGCTCTACCGATTCAATCGTATCATTTGCTATGCATGTATCATAGCGATGGGATCGCGTTGTTTTGTATGAACGAGACGAAACACATGAAAAATTAATTTTATTGTTTTCAATCAATTCGGTTCTTAAATATTTTCTTCAACGTGATTTTTTTAATGAAATCCAATCAATTTGAATGGAAAAAATTATCTGGAAGGATGTCAACCAATTTATTTCGATGAGACTGTGATTTTCACAAATTTAAATGCGTTTGAATTGCGTAAGATGTCGCCAGTGGTGGATTTTTGCTCAGTGTAGTAGTCTTTCGATCCTTTTCAATGTTAGCAAAAAAAAAGTGTTGTTCTATATTGGTCACCATACAAATTGTCATCCATCCCATGTTTATACGCCCAAATTTTTTTTTATTGCTTTGATTGACTACTGTCGTCGTTGTCGAAGCTACGTGCCGTTCATTGGGATAGATTTTTAATGTACACACGGTGAGCAACAGAAGCAGCAACCAGAGAGAGACAGAGACAGAGACAGAGAGAACGAGTCACACACAGAACAACACGCATATTGAAAGGGATTTTTGGTTTAAATGCATGCAGATAATATGCTCGCAATACATCATCACTAAGGATTTTGTGTGTTATTTTTTTCGTACTCGGCACTTCTTCTTCTTCTTCTTCTTCTTCGTCGTCGTTGTTGTTATTTATTTTTGTTGTTTGTGTGTAAAATTACATTTAAAACGTGTGCAAACGACGAGAACGGTGGTTTGGCGTGGTAACAACAACAAATCGAAAATCACTTGAAACAACCGAACTGTTTTCGTTCGTGTGGTTTGGTGTGGAAAATAAAATAATCGAAAGAAGAAAAAAAAACAAAACCCAGCACGGTGTAAACATTGATTGTGTGCAATCGAGCGATGGCTGAAGGTATATAAATAAGTCCATTTTAAATTTTGTTGTGAGTGTTTAGCAATTAATTTGTTTCGATTTCGTGGATATTGGTTTGTTTATCGGGTGTCATTGTGACATTTGGCAAACCAGAGAGAGAGAGAGAGTCGTGTGTGCATCAATTTCAGATTCGTCATTTGTTGTAGAGAGGAAAACCAATTACACATCTCAGACAAATATATGCAAGAGAGAAAAAGAATTAATGAATGCAAAACTCGGAACTGATGATAGTTTTCAGGTAGCAAAGCAAAGCGCACTTGAGAGAATGAGACTGAGTGTATGAGAGAATGCAAGTGGATTGTGTTGAGTGTGTGTTTTTGTTTATTTGCTTAGTGCATCCAGCAACAGCAGTAGCAGTAGCAGTAGCAGTAGCAGCAGGGTGCGTTTAGAAGTGTGTTGTGGCTTCGGGCCAATCTCTTTCGATATTCGAAAGCGGAAAAATCGATAACCTAGTTTACAAACGGATGTTAAATGCAGAAACGAATGAGAGGAGAGAAAAAATGGTTTCTTCCTTAATTTCTGGTTTCCTTCCTTCAATCCACTTGAACGGCATGTTTTTCCATTGCGTTGAAGCCTACTTATCATTTCAATCTCGATTTCATTTTTTGTTATCATTTCTATCTCATGCAAAGCGTACTATGAATGTTTAATGAATTTATTCTCTTCCTTTGATTTTGCTCTCTTTTGCGTACAGGCGAAGTGGACGATTTGGTGGAATCATTCAAAACCATATCAGTACAAAGCACGAATCGTAATGAATTGATCGAAGTGCTGAAGAAGATTGCCTCCACATCGGAATCCAATGCCGCATCATATGAAACGATCAATTTAACCGATAATTTCTTCAAACTTATGACCAGAACCGATTTGGATGCCGATGTCCGGGAGCAAATCGATCGTACCATTGCCGAAGTCACCAAAATTGATGGCCAACGGAAGCGTTTCACAATCAATGCCATTTTGGAGAATTTACTGAAACGATTGGCCGGCGAAACACAGCAAACATGTGATCGAACCCAGCCGCAGCAGCCACTTAGTGATACGCAATTGATGACGGCAATTCAGTGTTGTCGAGCATTGGGCAATATTTGCTATAACAATGAAGATGCACGCAATATCATTCTGAAGCTGAAGGGCGATGCTACAATCATCAATTTGCTCGATCTCAAGCTGGATGCCAGCAATGAATTGGAGGTGACATTTGCCAAATTTCGCGGCGGTTTGATATCAAATTATTTGCTGGGCGGCGAACATTTGGCCAAGAATGCCATGGAACTAGGCATTTTGCAGAAAATTGAACGGATTCTGGACGATTGCATAGCACGTGGTGAAACTGATCAGGGTGAAGAGATTCTATTGAACACACTGCAACCGCTTAGTTTACTCACCGAAAATGTGGCCGATTTAAACTTTTCCGCCAAACTCAACGGGCAACTGGCCAAAATTTTAACCATCTCGAAGGATCCGGACGTGGCCGAAATTTGCCTTGAAATGCTCAACTATCAAGCGGAAAATGGTAAAGATGGACTTTTTGTTTTTTTTTTTTCATTTTTGGTGCTTGTTCGGAATAGACATTTCCATTTTTGGAATGGTTTTTTCTTAGGATTTCTACATTTTTGATCGTTGTATTTGCCAAATGAAGCGAGTAAAGGGCGGAAAAATTGTCATTGTGATAGAATCATCAAGTTATTTTATTAAAGATTTAATTTTTAATATGAATCTCAAACAAATTGAATCTATTTGATCTGGGTTGGTACGTAAGAAACTCGACCATGTAAATTACATCAAAGTTACGTATATTACATCATGTAATTTACCTATGAAAAATCATGTAAATTACATGAATTTGTAAGAAACCTGTAAGAAACTCTGAAGAATGATTTTTTCATAAAGAATGCATGCAAAAAACAAAAGATTTTCAATTGGAAATGAAGAAAATTTGTATTCTATTTTAATTTTGTTCTTTCGTTATGTAAAAAATTAATTCTGATGATGAACAAAAAGTGAATTAAATATTCTTCATGTAATTATTTCATTATGTAATCAACGTTTTCAATCGTCTTCTATCAACTATTTATGGAAATATTTGCATAGTGATTCGGTAATTCTGCATTTCCATATAAATATATTTCCAAAAATAGTTGAAACATTTTATTAAACATTTATTATAACATTATTTAAATCAAATATAAAAGCATGCAAAATTCATTTGGCTACACACTGTTATCAAGTATCACTGCGAAAAAACACATTCTTTATGAAAAAAAACCTGGTGGTTTCAAACTTTTCCATGAATAATATATTTATTAATTATTTAAAAGGCTAACGCTGTGGAACGAGTATGTATGTACTCTGTATACTTTGAATGCTTAAAACAAACGAGAATAGTCGGTTTTTTTCTATAACCCTGCACTTTTTGGAGCGTTTTGGAGTTTATTACATGCGTTGAGGTTTCTTACGTAATAAACGTAAGATACATGTTTCTTACGTAAATTACTTACACGTCGCTCGAAATACGAAAATTTACCAACCCAGTATTTGATAGAAATCAAAAAGTTATTTGGGCTTTTTCCATTTCAATTGACATTTCTATTATGTAATGAAAAATTTCCACCTTCGACCTCAATCCCAAATTGAATTAATAATTCAGTAATGAGTTCCAATTCCAACAATTTTCGATTTTATTTTAGTTTTGATTGTACTCATTTTTGTTCCTCTTAATCTTAGATGATGTGAAACTGCAACTGGCCATGGATGGTGTGTGTGAAACGATTTATCGTCTGCTGGAAACTTACAAAACATTAGCAAATACCAATGAAGCGAGAGCTCTTATGAAACTTGCATGTGACTTAATCGTTTTAATCCTTACTGGAGGTAAATTCTTTGAGTAATGTTTTTTTTCTGCTTTCGACTGAACGTTCGATTTCATTTCGTTGAACAGATGAATCAATGCACTACCTCTACAACACATCTTTGCTGAAATACATGGAAGACTGGTTGGATTCTTATGACATTGATTTATTAACAACTGGTGTACTGGCATTGGGTAATTTTGCCCGCACTGATAGCCATTGCATTGCAATGGTCGAGCGAAATATTACCAACAAATTACTTGGTGAGTGTGTCTTCATTTTTTTTTCTTTGAAAAGGATAAAAAATGTAATGAAAATCTGAAAAAAGACTAGAAATAATCTTGAAATGTAAAAAAAAATTCAAGACGGATCAAAATATGGACCAAAAATTATCTTCGAATGGGAGGATTAAAAAAGGAGGATCCACGAAATTTTCTTTTAAAAAATCTGAAAAAAAGACAAAAGAAAAACCAAACCAAAATTCCAATTGAAAAAATCGTTTGTTTTTCCCATTGCAGCAATCCTTTCAAAAAATAATGGGATCGACGATGAGATGAAGTTGCAGCATGCGTTGTTGAGTGCGCTTCGAAATTTGGTGATACCAAAGGAGAATAAGTCGGTGATCATAAAGGCGGGCTTAGTGGAAACGATATTGCCAATGTTGAAAATCCATCAGGCGCCGGTGGTGTACAAATTGCTTGGCACATTGCGTATGCTAATCGATGGTCAGCCGGAATTGGCGCATCGACTACTTGAAAATGTCACATTAATACAACAGCTAATCGAATGGTGTCAATCGTCGGAATGTTCAAGCGTAACGGGTGAATCGTTTCGGTTGATGGCCTGGCTGATAAAGCATGCCTACAAAGATACGGCAAGCAATATTGGTAGTGGCACATCGAAAGTGGCGTCGACAGTGGCATCATCGTCGAATCGTTCTAGTCTGAAAGCGTTTATTAAAAATGTGGGCTCGGTGCAGAGTATGGTGACAATGTTGTCGTCACAGCATATGGTTATGCAGAATGAAGCGTTAATTGCCTTATGTATTATGTCTTCATTATTTATACCGTACACAGACAACGATGCAGCCGATGTTAATTTAGCCAGAATTTTAATTGATTGTGATTTAGGCGGCAAATTGGCCGATTTTATTCAGCGCAACGCTGACACAATGACTAAAGAAATTGTTGAAAATGTACAAACTCTAATGACACTGTTACGCTCATCCGATACACTTATCGAACACCTCAATCAACACAACATTGATGAATTGCTGAAAACAATTCCAATCCTCACCGAATACTGTACTTTGTAAATTAGTTGTACGTTTTCATTTTTAAACAAAAAAGTGTAATTTATGTTTTCAATTTGTGTGTAGAGAGAAAGAGACAGAGAGAGAGGGAGAGAGAGACAGAGAAATCAAAGAAATGAAGCATTTAATATTGCGTTGCGTTTGGCAGGTGTGCCAACGCACGCATCTCAGCAATAACATTTAAACAAACAAAAAATCGCTTACCATTAGTGCATTTTATGACATTAGCACATTTTCCATTAGGTTCCAATTTTGTTTTATTTTCTGCGTGTATGTTCGAAGTTGGCTATTATCATTTTGGTATGGCTCCACCACTTGTTTCATCGACAGACAACTAAATGTGCAATGTATCGCATTCACTTGATATAGAGGAGCGCGCGCGTGTCGATGAGGAACGGGGAGCCGGCGCCAATCAGAACAAACACTTTAGTGGTGGCAAGTGTTTTTAGTGTGCTTGATCCAATCCAATTTTAGACATATATTAGCATTTAGCATTATATCTAACACATACTCCTTGATGAGTACATTTCTCTCTCTTTTTCCTAAAATCTCCGTCTTTTAAACAAGAACAACCACTTAAATTCAATTCAATTGTAGCGCTTAGATGCATTTATTATTTAAGATCGAAAAACAACCACATAATTATGATGAAAACCTTACAACATTGTACTACCAGATTCTCAAATCATTAAGAAAATATAGACCAAATTTTATTCTGAACGAAACCAAACTATGGACTTTTTTTCAACGGTTTTATTGGTGGTGAACAAGTTCTAATGCAGTTTATAAATAATATTCGATTTAAATGAATAATTACTCTAGGCCTGGTTTGAAGTGGAAATTTTGCACCATTTTCTTGAAATGAAAAAAATGAATACTAAGAAATTTGTGATCGAAAAAAGAGCATCGTAATTTCAAGGACACATTTCATTTGGTGAAGCTAAAATAAATACCATGTTATATCTGATCGCAGATATAATGATTGTTCATGTTCATACGAATCCGAATGCAGTTTTTTTAAAATTCTCGTCCAGTTTATTTTCAATAACCCTCTAGTGCATACAACCGCCTTTAGGCGGGCAACATTTGAACGCCTGTTTAACGTAAATCGTACATCGGATCACATTGCTTTAAAAGGCATTTTTATTCTTCAATGTGTCCTCTAGATAATTTTGTTCGTTGCAAATCTAAAATGCCGGTAGTTCTTTAATATATGAATCTTCGAAAGTATCGGGGTATTTGCGTATTAAAATAAATTTTGTGTTTTGACGTACTTTATTTAATTTTTTGCGTATTCGTTTATAGAGTTTCAAATGAAAGGGCAATGAGCCATCCATTAAGCAAATATCAAGTTCTTCTATTGTTGGGTGTGCCAGAATAAAATCTATCCACATCTCCAGTTGGAAATAACTGCATTTCACTGTCAATTTCTTCAGACGCTTGAAAGAAAAGCATGTATCATTGAATTGAATTGTTGGTCAAAAATCGCATGTTTCACTGCGCCAAATATGTTTGTATGGTCTCCGAACGTGTGCAAAATATTCAGTGTCTGGTGACAGTATTCGTTGGCATGAAGAAACCAATTTTTGCGAAGAGAAGAAGAACCATCATGGATTCTTAAATATAATTCGGAAACACGGCGTCCAAAAAGCCGTATAACTTTGAAACCTAACACCGGCCGACGAAAACGAATGGCATAAAAATCTTCAGCCACAATCGAACCCATCCACTCGTCATCTACGATAATCATTGTGTTCTTGAGTTTCCGAACGAACACCACTTTGGCTACTGCTTTGAGATCCTTATTCTTTGAATAAACTGCTGGTTTTCATTCGGGTTCCCTCTGAAAACATGTTTTAAAAAATTACCATGACGCTTCGTTTCAATTTCAATTTCTATAAAATAATGCTCGTTTATGCAAAAAAAAAAACCTTGCTCCTACCTTCATAAAAATTATGTCATTTTCAAAACAAATGATTTTTTTCAACCAAAAATTGATCCGCGCCATAAACAGTTTGGCAAAAAAATCGAGTGCCTTGATTTGGCCGGAATAGACGTCGTGCTCATCCAATCAAAGATACATCCGTATCAGATACACCGTTTTAAGTTAGAATCATCAGTTTTTTTCTCGTTCCATATTCGCATTTTTTTAAAAGTTAATTTTGTTACCGGAACCGTTTGGATCAAATGGCGTATGGTTTGTAATCAATAATGAGTGTTAATTGCACGCAACGGAACTGTTTTTCTTTCCATCGCGTGCAAATTCCACAGGTAGACATTATATTGCGGGGATGAAAAAGTAAAAGCTTCAGAACGATCATTGCTGAATGCTGAATTGTTGAACATTCAAGAAAAACTATGAATTTTTCAAGAAAATTTTTTTCCGGAGATTTTTTTGACAGGAACGTTTCGAGGAATCTGATAGAGCAAATCACCATCTAATATGAAATATATAAAATTTTAATTTCCGACTTTGACTTGATAATTTTTAAAAATCGATCCATATTTCATTCCTTTTTATCTAATTTTCAATCATTTTTCTTACATTCAGTCTTGTTCACCGAAATTTTTTATATTTTTTATCCTGTGATTTCCATATCGATGGCTCCGTGACCTTCGCAATTTCGTGTTATGCAGAAAATTTCTGCATTATTTTAGAAGTTTTCCCGATTTTCTTAGTTCTTATATGTATGGAGATTAAAATTTATTCATTTCTCATCGGTCTTCATAAATGAAAAAAATCACAACAAATTGATCTCGGACTCCATTTTCAATGGCATTGAAACAGCCATCATTGTTAATTTGTCGATACAGTGATGGAAACCCAATTGAGTGTTTTCAACATTCAATCGGTAAGTCTAAGCCAAATTAAGTGAAAAGGGAAGTCTAGGTCTGGATAAGTCTGGATTCTAGACTCTAGAATAGTCACTGACAAGTTATGAGATAAGTTAAGTCGTAAAGCTCGAATGAATGCCTCTATCATCTGATTTGTGTTCGGCCGATGTACCTTGCAAAGCAATGCTTTGAAAGCATGAATCGGTCAGATTGTGAACATAAGAAAGTGAATGCAGAAAATGCGGGTGATTTATGCCAATCGATTGCTCTGTAGGAACTTCCACTTAACAACGATTTGTGTAAAGCCTACAAAACTTCCCACTGAGAAGCAAGAATTCCATTTTAGCGAATCGTCCTTTATCTCAATTTGTTCCTGATTTGTGATTGTCCGCCAAACATTGCTCAAATCAAATCTCATAAAACGATGAAGTCATCTTTTGGCAAATGATAAGTTCAAAGTGGAAATGCATCGTTAAAGAGGAAATTTTATATCAAGTGCAAGACGGCATAAAAAGAGCAGATTGTCGATTGGTCTTGATTTAAAAGAAGCAAAAGGCAACAGAAATAAAGTAGATCATTTCGTACGGTGGATGTGTGGCACTGCGCCGTATTATTGAGAGTCAAACCAATTTAAAAACATGCATGCACTCACGAGACTCCGATTTGAACTGGATATTTGTCGAAATAATCGGAATGGCCTGAAATGATGAAGCCTATCTTCATCTTATTCTGTCTCTCTCTCTTTCTCTCACTCTGTGTTCTTTAATCTTTACTGTTTTCTACCTCACGTATACTTTTAGACAGAGAGAATGAAGGCACCAATTTGATGTGAAACCATTGCGACTTGAACCATGTTTAATGAGGAAACAATTTGACCATGAGAATATATCTCTCTCACATATGTGTCTGATTTTATTGCAGGGATAAAAGAGTGACCACTGACCAGCCGTAGTGATGATTCTATTGAATGACGGAAATAATGGTGTACACTTTATTAATAGCCGAATTTATGGTTCACTTTTGTACGAATTTCCTTTTTTTTCTTGCTGGCTATTCATTCATTCAAGAATAGAATCATAATAAGGCTTTTGTCATCATTTGCCTGAATTAGAAATGGACATGTGAGCCATTGTGATATTCGCAATTTAAAGGAATAGAAATGCTATAGAAATGATCATATGACGGAAATTCCTAATGGGATTCGAATTCAGTCACGGAATGTTCCCAATGGAAAGTTAGAAAAAAAAAATCATCCTTTTAGCATTTGGTGCGCGGCCATTGTTTGTCATGGAATATTTTGATCGCATATTCCCATTCTTTTGATTGAAGTTTGTGCGCGCGAGATTGGCTAATTTCGGTCAAGATCGAATTCATTCCTTGTATTTCACTCGAATTAACGAACGATGCGATCAATTTTGGTTAAATGTTAAAGGGAAACAGACTTACTACAATTTTGGGCATATAAACATCAATTATATAAATTAATAGCATGCTTAAAGCGGCCAGAGAGGGGGAGAGAGACAAAGATGTGCAAATGCTCGTATTTGCTCAAGCAAACGCCGCATCTCATAAGAATTATGTCGGAGTAATATCTCTCGTCACATCAAACGGAATGTGTGGGGAAGTCAAAAGTGACAAAATTTTTGATGAAAATGTCTTTGAGCTTGATCTATTGCGATGATGCTCAGCATCTACACTCGTTGCTGAATTCTTTTTTGTTCCTCTCTATTAGTTTTTCTTATCGGTTTACTACAGCTGTCGATCTCTTGTCGCCTTTTTTTCGCCACACACTTCGATTGTAATGCATGGAAATGAAAACAGTTTGTTGTTTTTTTTTTTTTGGTTGATGAAAACGCTTCAAACGATTCCATTAGATTTTTATGTGTCTCTTATTCTTATTATTATTATTATTTTTTTTTTCGACAAATAGATTTATTAATGGCTTTTTAAATACATCTGCGACTCTCTGTTTCCAAGTCAATATATGATCAGTGTGTGTAATGGCTATTTACAACGATATGATAACCACAAACATACACACAAAAATCTATAACCCAACACACATCGATGCTAGCATCGATGATGGTAATGATGACAACGAACAAATTTTCGTGCGACAACAATCAAATACATGTGCACTTTGCACAGCTCAGCACAGTTCAAACATCAGTTTTAATTGAACAATTAACAACTATAAACAAATATCGTCCCATACGATAGAAGAGAAGAGAACGACAAAAAAAAAACACGGCCAATCGCAATAATGTTACAACGGAGGCTTCCTTTTCGCTGAATCGCGTGATTATTTTTGATCGAGCGCAATTTTTTGAACATGGTTTCTTTTCGAAGAATTTATTTGCAACGTTTGTTATCAGTTCACACTCCAAACATTGCGCGGTTGTTATGATTTATGCACATTTTTTTAATGCAAACTCAGGTTTCAGTGGAGAATGATCAAATGAGCAATTGTAACAATTTTATAAATGTACGTTGAACAAATGCTAGTTATTGAGTGCTTTAATTTTTCAAGTGGCACACAAAAAGCCCAGAAAAAAAACATTATTTTGATTGACGAAAATTACCCGTTAAACGAAACGCCAATTTGACAAAGTCACACTTCTAATTGGTGCATTACACACTTTATAATCACTGTATTTATTTATCGCAATTAAAAACGATTACTGCATTCTTCGGAAGCACGAATGAAATCGTGCTTTCTAATTGGATTTGCTTGTCATTTTTGTTACATTTTTGTTACATTTTCAATTAAAATCTTGTTTTTTTATTTATTCTCTCAGTTTTTCCAATTGTCTTTGTTGCGATAAAAAGAACTAACATGATAATTTTCGCATCAACACGACTCGAAATAACTTTGTTTGTTTTAATTTACAATGA